ATCACTGAAACCTGCGATGAAAAAACGCGAGAACCAGAAGCGCTTCCGCATATCTCAAAGCAAAATCTTCCGAAAAATGATAAACCCTCACGCTTGTCCAATTCATAACGACCTTAATAGTCCTATCGTGAAAGATGACAAAATTTTCCAACGAAATTAACGTAAATCTCTTTAATCGAAACCCCAATTCCCTTAGTCGTCAGTAAAGACCGGATTTTCGTGCATTGAAAACCTCGAAATGTGCAGTCACGGGTAAAAACGCCTCAAAATCGTGCAAAAACGTGTAATAAAGGGAATAACTCCTATTTAGCATAGTAACAAAATTATTTACCTATTGAAATTAATTATTATCTTAAACATTTTTTACGATTGATTATTTATTTTATAATCAACCGATTATATCAATTTTTAAACGTGACATATCCATTTTTTTAAATTGTAACAGGGGCGTCGGTGGCCGCAACGGTTTAGGCTTTGACACGGCGCTCATAACTGTAAGGTCCCGGGTTCGAATCCAGCGGCCCTTCATTCCAACCGGACATACGTTTTTTCAAAAACAGCGGCACCCTGAGGGTTTATATGACCTCTGATGTTGCTAACCCGCGTAAAAAAAGTCACATAGCTGGTTTAAGAGCTCCCGAATTACATCCTGTCCTTCATCCTCTTCTTGGGTGACAGCGTTTCCTTACAGCCACATGTGTCCTCGATACAGTGTTGGCAATGGTCAGAGTGAGGGTAAAAATCACAATAGGAACGCTACCACGTGCTAGGAATGAATTATTTTACCCTAAAAGGAGTAATAAGACGTAATTGCAAGAGACAAAATTTTTTCCATCGATTAAGCATCCCATCGATCAATAAGCAGAAAGCCTGTGGTACCAATAAGGAAATGTAAAATTTTCAATCGGTAATAATGATTTTTCGATCGGAAAATAAATTCAATTATGCCGTAGGCCGTCATTAAAGCACAAAGTGGTGCGTTTTGACCGGAACCAGGAGCATAATGGGGTCGAGACTACTTAAACGTAATTTTTTTTTTTCAATTTGCCCACGTCCTTCCGCCGGCCCTGCTAGATCCCCTTTGAGAAAGGTTTTGGGATGGAAAATGGGCCGTTTAATAACAACATCCTTTTAACCTACTGAATCTCCAGGTTCGAGGCGCCCGGCCGAATAGAACCGGCCCGATACTGGACGGGCTCGCGATACGGGGAAAAAATTCTCTCTTTCCCTTTCCCATTACAGTTATATGAGTGAAACTTGCTCTGGGGCCGATAATCACAGTTTGCCGCGAGTTCTTTCAGCCGGGTTACAAAATACATACACCTGGGATTAGGTGCCGTTTCGAGTTAAGCTCCATCCAAAGTATGAACATTCCCTAGTTTCTCATTTTACGAATAATAAGTACGTCAAACAAATATACTTTAAATAATACAAATTAAGTACAAGAGATTGGGTAAAAGCTCATAATGGTATCCTTGGGAACGACCTATGATAGATATGCAAAAAACACAGCCCTTGATGAAAAATTGCTAGGTTCATTCACCCAAGTGCCAATTGTATACGGAAAAAAGAGATAAGGAAGAAACCCAATGGGAACATGTACTAATCCAGAAAAAGGCTCAGCAGGAAAAAAGGTTTTTCCAACAATTTCCTCCAGAATGCTAAAAAGACAGAGCATATCTCAAAAGATTCTGGAAAATTAACAACCCTCTCATCAACAGCAAAATGGAATCATTTATAGATGTGAAATGTTCCGAAGCATGCGTACTCTGATATAAAAGTTGTTCATGAAGGAGAAACATTTGGCCACTACAAGTGAAAAAATACTGATCTACAGGATCCAGGAAGATTTTCTAAAATTTGTGGAATCCATTTGTCTGGATGAAGGTTGGTGCCTTTAAATAATGGTTGGTAGGAGTGCTCGTTTTGTTGGAAATTCTACTGTGCTATTGGACTTCCAGGGATGACTAACTACATTTAAGATTAATTATTTAATTGCCTTCTATTTAAATTATTTGTCAATTAATTGCATAGTTAAAGTTGTATATTAATAAGGGCACTGGCAACACGATACACAAGAATGACACATCTACACAGAAACGATCACTTTGAGCCCTGAAGATGATCTCAATAAAGATCGAAACGTTGGCACAATAAAGAAAATGTTTTTATAAACCTACGTCACACCCACCAGACCGCATCTAACGATCTCAATAATAATTAATAATAATAATAATTTTATTTGCAAAAAGTACAGTAGTATAGTAAGATAAAACATAAAAAGAGAAAAAATTGAAGGATAAAATAACAAAAGAATAACTAAAAATTAAGTCATTTAACCAATCTGCACAATTTCGCCTGTGACATAAAAGCAGCGTTTTTAACAGGTGGCAAGAATAATGTCAGTCAACAAAATTGCTAAAAATTCAATCAAAAAGAATTTAGAAGGTGTATAAGACAAAATAAATAAAAGAAAAAAGAAAAATAACGAAGAGAGAAAAATAAAATAAAATGCAATAAATTCAAGATAAAATAAAAATTAAATAATACAATGATCGCCAAATGATGCCAAATATACAACAAAGAAAGTTCAAATTATAAATTTAAAATTTTTACAATAATAAATTTTTTGAAATCATAATGAGTATTAAATTTGTTAAAATTAATTTTATGATTGTAAAGAATCCTAAAAACAACGTTTAATGAAAAATTAAAGTAAAAATTAGTATTTACTTTGAATATAAATGTATTAGTAATTACTTTTTGTCTTGTTCGATAGTCATTGTGTGGTTCAGCAAAAAAGGTTATTTTTAACTACATACAACCAAGACCATTTTAAAAACTGTATAAATTTTAGAACCTGAAAAATATCATAGTTTATTGGTGTTGAATCTAAAAAAAAAGCCGTGCCCCTTACGCAGAGAAAGATTGGTCGATGTGTCCTACATAACAGAGGCGTGGCATGCCTTGGCTCCATACAGAGAGCGTGTAGGCATGCTGCCGGATTTAAGAATGGTTCTCGGACACGGTAGCGACTTTCAGCTTATTTAGAAAAAAAACCATTGCAAATAGCAATATAACTCCCAAATATTTATTATTGTTTGTAATTGGAATGGGATTAATACACGCATGGAAACAAAATTTAAAGCTATTTAAAAATAATCTTTTACTTAATGAAAAATGAAATGTACTTAATAAAAAATGTAACAATGATTTATCATTGTTTAAAAATAAACAGTTAGGGGATAACCATGTTGTAACAAGCAAACAATAGGTACAAACAAATTTTATCCAGTTAACCTTCCAGAAAAAAAATCAAGCACGTATCATCAGCATAACTTTAAACTTTACGGGATATTTTCAATTTTAAAATATCATTATTATATAAAAGGAAAAACAGGGGACCTAAAACCGTCCCATGAGGGACGCCAGAGACGATAGGCAATGGATTGCTACACTGTTCCAACTTTTGTTGTCTGAGTACTACCCACTAAATAAGTCTCATTAAGTTTAAGTGGAACCTCAACAAGTCCTATTAATTTTAATTTTTTTTTAAATAGCAATCGATGATCGACGAGTCAAAAGCCTTTTTTCAATCCCAGCCTTAGAAAGATCCCCAAAACATGATAACCTTTACCCACTTCATTTGAAATATTGTTAACACCATCAAACAGTGCCTGTTCAGTTGATATAACTTACTAAACAAAGTAAGTGAATTTAGCCAAAGTTTTCATTGCAAAAAAACTCACTCTTAAAAATGCAATATAATGTAAATTAATTAACAACAGTGAATTATCAGATATTAATTGTAGTAAATATTTATATGCCCGTAGCCTTATTTATATATAATTACATTCGCTGAATCTAGATTTCTCAATTTTAGAAAAATATATAAAATAATACGACACACTTTTGTAAAAATAGCGCACAAACCTACTAGTAAAGTTGGTGAGAAACCGAAATGCGTAAGACAGGGATATACGGCGAGGATAGGCGGACCACGATGACTGGGAACGATTCAATTACATGATTATCACTCCGCAGAATACGAAAAAAAATCCAAGATTGTTCAAACAGGACAAGATTGGGAAAATGCAAAAACTCACCTCTGAAGACTGCCAAATTCAGAAACGCGTTTGACAGACAAACATAGAGGATTGACGGACCAGGATGAACTTGCGAACTACCTACCTGATCACCTCGCTAATCCCAATAAGAAATCTCAGAAATTATTGTATTTTTATGGCCTATCAAAATAAAAAATTGGACATTGTATCATCTTCATCAAGCTGGTGTTTAAGGTTTAAAAATAATTTAATTCCCCGTAAAAAGCATATCAAAAAAGACACATGACAAATTAACACATGCTGTAGTAAAGAATCGAATAGAAAAACAGGAACAGCAACAAATCAGGCACAGACGTTGGAAGGTGTTGTTTGTACTCTGATATCAAGATTTATGCTAATAAACACGACATAATGGCAATGTTGTTTAAATAAATCGCTCGGATTTCCTTTAACGGGGGATCTAGACACATAAAATTAGGCGTATTTCAAACTTAGATGGCATAATAAGCTTGTTTTTTATCGTATTATTAAGTCCTCGGGACTGGGACGAACACGTTTTCTCTAAGTGTGTAAATGATGGCCTAGGCGAACGCGTTGCCTAAGAAAGTCCACTTCGGAGGAACGGAAACCCGCTCATAAAAACAGCTGATCTGGATAAAGGATAAAGAAAAATCTGAGGCTTAAGTGGTAAATCAAGTCATTTAGTTATCAATTAAGAGTCAATTTAATTTTTTTAAGAAACGTTTGGATATTTTAAAATTCATGACGAAACAGTAATTAATAATCCATTATTTTATAGAGATTTATAACCCTACGAATTATTGCTTTTTAATTAAACTAATCCTACCGGTTGTACGATTTTATTATACCTAGGAATGTACATACAATCTTTCTTGCCTTGATATCTTAAAAGTAATTTTTATCGGTACTTACTTTTACTTGTAGATCGGCCTTTCCTGATATATCTGAAACAATAAAAAATATATAAGTTTACATAAATAAAAAAAATAGTCTTGTGCAAAATGTGGTGTTTTTAGTTGGTTTGATAAAAATATTAAAATTCGAGAAGTCTTTAGGAATAAGCAGGTCAAGAACTGTTTTTTAAAGTAGAAAAACAGTAAAAATTAGTCATCCAAAAAGTCGTGGCTTTGGAATGATTAAAACATGAGGCTAAACTAAGCATTTTTCTATTTGACTTTCTCTTTTCACTATAAGACTTTTAACCTGGAACTTTTCCAGGTGAAGTTTTCACTTCATCTTGGATCGAATTCGAAAAAATCGTCTTCTTTTGGGACTGCCAGACATTTCAGTAATAGAGATAGGATAAAGGTTTGGCATATACGACGGTTCTTAATGTGGAACAATAATTGCTTTTAAATTTCCCTTTTACCTTATTTCTTGGCGATTTCTTCTTTTCGTTTCATGACTACTTTAGAAAAAAATTGGCAACTTAATCTAAATTATTTTGATCTTTAGATCAAAATGAAAAACCGGGTCAAAAAAGAAAAACCAAAAATCAAATGAAAAACCGGGTCAGATATATCCTATGCAAGCCTAAGCTAACATGAAGAAGCGAGGAAAAGAAAGAAAAACCCCAAAAACAAATAAATTGAACGAGCACATAAATATTTCGAGCATTCAACAATAACCAAAAATATCCCACCTATTGCCAGAAATGGAGGCTGATTAATCAGCCCGGAAACTTCCTCTGTAACATCCCATTTAGTATTAACAGTCTGCAGAGAAGAAGAAATCAGAATCAAATATAATTTCATGGTACACACACTCCAAAACCAATGAAGGAACTGGGTCAGGTTCAATCAAAATCAATAAGGAAGCACACCTCGATTTTTCAAGCAGAATGCCCTAGAAAACCTCAATAGAGGTTACACTGACAAAAAAAATAGTATAAGATCAGACAGGCAAGCAGCTCTAAAAGCATTCGCATACAGAAAATTCACACCCAAAATAATCAGTGAATACATCCAAAACCTGAGAAGCAAACTGGCCAGAGGATATGTAAGAGCAAGGCCCAGAACATATAATTTGAATAACAATTTAAACATTATAAACATAGACTCCTCAAATTAAGAATGGGTTCACAAAGCACAAAAGGAGTAATTGAGGAGGTCCCTGACAAAGTATACTGATGATAAAAGAACCCTCACAAAAACTGACAAATACATTGCTACAAAGGTCGGCAAAACCTTGCCAGGGCAGAAAAGGGGTAATGACCAAGCAGACAAACTGGCCAGAGGAAAATCTGCAAAACTATCTACATGCACAGTACGTAACATTGAATCAAATTACAAGATTAAGGTGATGGGTCCATAAAAATTAATAGGAACAGTGGATGGGCTGCAGTGGTGCCAGACTGACTGAACTCACGATTTAAGGACTCTCATCAAAACTGGCAAACGTATTGGTACAGTTAATCAAGGTAAAACTGAGGGAGTGATAGAGCTATACTAGTCAACGGCATCTGATACCTTCACCACATGGATATGTATATTCAACGGTCCCATTTTTAGGTTATAAAACGAACTAAAGATAAAAGAATAGAATAGAAGAAGGAAGGAGTAATTGAGCTGAACTAGAAAAACTGCAATGAGCCAAACGGTTGCGGTACTTGAATACCAAGTTGTAGTTGTAGATGTATTAGTCGGGGTGTAATATACTGCGCCCTTTAAGATTGTATTGTTTCCCCGTTCTCTACCTAAAGCACACCGATGCGTCCTATTTCATCGAGGAAATTGACATGTCACATTGTACATCCCACAATGGTTACACTTCCTCTTGCGGGCAACCACAGTTTGTTACTAGGTATGTTGGTGTCTCCTCTTCCTCTTTGCAGAATCTGAATGTGCTGTCTTGGATTATTCCAATCTTCTTTAAGTGTAAATTTAGCTTGCAGTGTCCTGTTAAGAATCCCGATAGGATTCGTAGTTTGTTCCTTCTTCCTTTGACACATTCCGTAACTTCTTTTCTTCCAAAATTTGTTAGCAGTTTCTTGGATTGTCTGTGTTCAATGAGTGAATTCCATTGTTCCTTCGTTTTCTTTTTGTCCTTTAGTCTTAGGTACTCATTAATAGTGTGGGTTCTTATGCCACAAAAGGGTTCGGGTTAGCGGTATAGCAGTCCCTTTCTTTACAAGGGGGTCCGTTTTCTCGTTGCCTTCTACTCCCATGTGTCTGGGACCCAGCAGAGACTGAATTTGTTCTGTCGTTGTACTGCGTACCTAATAAGTTTAATTTGGTTTTGCAGTTCAACACCATCGTTGAACTAATGATATTTGAGCTTAGTGCTTTGATGGCTGACATGGAGAATACCAAACCCAAGCTTCCTTATCATCATCATCATCTACATTGACCATCTTGTATAAATAATTGAAGCATCCCTGTCCAGTTAAAAATAGAGTGTGACATATCCCCTAGCTAACTCCGATCTAACCATTCATTCTATTTACTGATCAGTTTGTCCGTGCTCTCAGATCGATGCTCTTGCCAGTGTTTTATGCTCAGCTCTCCTTTGGTGCTCTTTCTATACCTATTTCCGCTTTTCTCTCATAAACTGCGCTTATCTGCTACCACAACTTCATCTTAGTACCCCGCCTTATTACAAGGTATTTCAGTTACTTTGTTCGAATTAGCTTATCGTAGTAGAAAATGTGTGTATAGGTGAACTAATTTTTTTATGACAACCATTGTTTCAAATTTGTTAATAGATGGTCATATTTGTTGACCTTTTAAATTATTAATTTAAGCCTAGCTGGAAAAAGGCTGCGTGTTATCAAATTGTGTTTTCTTAATAACAAGCCTCATCCCTGATCGTTTTTTAGCATTTAATTACAATTTTGACAGTAATTACAATATATCGGATTTCTGTAGTGCTTTACAATAATTTTTCTTTCGAAACATTTAATTACTTATTAATAGCGTTGTTATTAGCTTAACGCAGTTGACATTGAGGTTGCCAAACATTATCGTAATTCAAAATTGCTAGTTTTCTACTCGTACCCAAGTATGGGTAAGACCGGATTCCATCAGGCCGGATATGCATGTGTGCTGAAAGCCGGCGATGATTCTTTGTTCCCGAGTGCACCAGGTCGGGTTCCCTGGGTTCTTGGGGTTCTTTGGGATTTTAAACGGGTCACGGGGGTGGCGGAGATAATGTTGAGCGAGTCGGTCCGATTAGGCTCGCACGAAGGCTCACCCAGATCTTTCTTGTCTGATCCCAAACCTAGAAATGTGACAACTCGGACGTAAAGGTATGCCGCTTTTTACATCATCGCCTCGCCGTTACCCGGCATGGATGAGTGATTTGCCAGAAGTCGGTTTTGAGTTATGGAAGTGTCCGTTTACGCGGTTTCTGGAAAAGGGGAGCACTAGGGTTGGATGGTTTCTTCATCAATTACAAATAATTAAGCAGCCTTGAAACAAAATACATACAACCCTAAAATCAAATTAAAATTGTGTTTGATGAGTTTTTGAACACCAAAATAAAAAAATATATAGCTGTATAATTTACATTGAAACGTAATTTATCATAACTTTAAAATGCATAAAATTTACGCCCCACGATTAGTCTTTTTCTTTAATAAAAGATTGATTATAATTATTTAGATTTATAATCTGATCATTATGTATTATATTATTGTGGACTTTCTAATACCTTAATCAGCTTTGGCAATTAATTAAATTTATACGTCCGTCACGATTAATTACTGAAATTACTCAAAAATCGAATCTTATTACATGGTTTTGTTAGTTCAATGATCAAATTGAACTGTTTCAAATATTATTGGAACGTTTTAACTTTACAAAACAAGCCTGGTATTGAGTCAAGTAAAATTTGGATAGGAAAAAAATTTTGATAAATTTTTTTTTCGCTGTAGGATATTTCCGTCCAATTCACCCTTTAAAATTTCAAATTGACCATTTTTTTAATTTCAAATTATCTTTTTCTTTACTTTAAACTTTTAAATTAACCATTTACCTTCATATTTACGAGTTTTATTCCAAATTAATAGGAGGTGTGAAATGTAAGCACGTAAAGCAAAAGTTCTATATTTGCAAAAACATTAAAATAAAAATAATTGAGCTTTTAAAACGATATGCAATTAAAACTAATTGAAATTATAAAATATAGAAAATAAAGAATTTTTCTTTTAATTTGAATTTTTTTTAAATATATTTTATAAAATATATATAATACGGCTATTAAAACGTAAACTATTTCTCAAAATTTTCATTTTTTTACTTCAAATTAACCCTGGTATGGTATAAAATACATAGATGCATGTAATCTAAAATTTTCGTATCGTTGAGATTTTTTTAATAGAAAAAGGTTGTTTAGAAAACCATATAAAAATTAATTACAATTCTTTTTTTTTAATTTGAGTTTTTTTAAATATAAATTAATTGGGCTCTTAAAAACTACATGAAAATTAACTTCAATTAAAATTTAAAATTATATAAAATAAAGTTATTAATTTTCTTTTTTCTTTTCTTCAATTTTTTTTAAATTATAATTTTTAACCTTAATTTAAGAAATGTGAAAAATTATTATATATTTAAAAAAATAAAAGGAATTTTTTTTATTTTTATATTTTCTTTTCTATAATTTTTAATTTTATTTGAAATTAATTTTCAAATAGTTTTTAAGAGCCCAATTGTTTTTTGTTTTGTTTTTTCAAACGTAGGAATTTTACTTTACATGCTTACATTTCATACAGTCTTCTAGGTTTTTATGTTATAAATAAACAGTTATTTTAATAGTAAGAAAGAGCAAATTCGAAATTAAAAATGGTAAAAAGTTAAAAGGAATGAACTTAAAGTAAAGAAAATGTTAATTTGAAAATAATAAGGTTTAATTAGACGGAAAAAACGATTGTAGCAGATAGACCATGTTTTTTTATCATAATATATAGTTGTTTTGTTTTTCTCTCAGATTTTTTTATCAGTTC